AGCCACTACTAAGAGCCTCCTGGTCGTTGCAATCTGATTGGAAAGGCTTTCTGTCTAAAGCCTTTCCATACTGGTGCTCGATGTTTTCAGTTTGGGGACACCAAAATTAGTGTACCGCTAAAGACACGTGGTCGACACGTTGTTGACACGTTGTTGACACTTTGTTGACACGTGACCCAATAACCGGCCTACCAAGGGCCTTTGGGGACCGCTAACAGCAACTGTGGAACAGTGCAGTGCCCTTTTTTGGAGCAACGTACGAGCAGTGCCCGTGGATTATGACCCCGCGACCCCAATCTACGTGGCGATCCGCAATTCGCTACTTCATACTGACTGGCGTCCGGCATCGTCCCGAATTTGGCCGCAATCTGCTCTCGGGACCCTGTAGGGCTCCCTGACCTGCTCCATCTCCGCCATCGTCAATGTACTGCGCATCCACCCAGGCCAGGACTGCACTTACTTACGGGAAGGAGTATTTGCAAGATGGAACCTGGGAACTGGAAGACGACGAAGAAGAAGCGTGGGAATCCGGCAGCAATGGCTGGGATGTAAGTCCAACATTGCTGGTGCTAGAGTTGCCACTGCTTGCTTATAAGGGAATCATGTGTGTTGCCCTTTTTTGCCTTTTCCGACGTCCTCCTCCGACTGTACTCCCAGGACTGAACTTACGGGAAGGAGTGCTTCCAAGATGGGAGACGAAGAAGAAGAAGCCGCTGAATCCGGCGGCAATGGCTGGGATGTAAGTCCAACAATAAACATTGCTGGTGCTAGAATTGCCACTGCTTGTTTATAAGGGATTCATGTGTGTTGCCCTTTTTTGCCTTCTCCCATGTTCTCTTCCGACTGTACTGGTGAACGCTGTCACATATGTTGCCCTTTCCAGGCAGTAGAAGGGAGGGGTGGAGGGCAGCACATCTATCCTGGCATCCAGGAATGCTGGGTGGAACTGGGCAATCTGACCTTTCCTCTTACAAGTACTCCAATGATGGTATGGATGGGGAGTTCTTGAACGTCCTCAGTCTTGTTAGATTGAACTGTGCAAATCGGCAATCGATGATAGCAGAGGACCAATGCTGATGGCGATGCTCCTTCCTTTTTCTCTGTCACAGGCTGCGTTCTCGAGAAGAAGCGTTATTTCTGCATTCCAAGAAGGACGACACAATGGTGAGTGGAACTTCGTGGGTGTGCAGCCTTGCTAGTTGAGTTGTAAATCAATCATTCTTCCTGTCTCTGACTTCTTCAATGTCCTCCTCAGTGTCGGACTGTCCGCGTCGCATTGAATTGGTCCGATGAGGCTGCTATTGCACACACAGTGAGGGAACTCCCATACGGGAACTCGGAAGTACTGCTACAGTACAGGTAAGGTGGCCGTTGCTTATGTGCGTGCGCCGTTGTTGTCAACTTTTAAGCCAGATGTTTCACAATGCATTGCACCAAGAGTACATAACCCCGGAGGTCATGTACTCTTGATTGCACTCAGCACCGCTTCTCGGAATATCTTGTCAGGATAGCTGTGGAACGCATCCTCCCCAGTGGAGGAACGGCAAATGTGCTGTTCATTTTAGGCTTGCTTTTATGGTACGTACAAATCCCCATTGAAAAGACATAGTGGAGACGAGAAACTGCAAATAGATGTTGGGAACCGGGAAGACCACCCTTCCTTGCCAAGTTCCCTGAGGGTGTGGAGGGGGGGGGGGGGGGGAGAGTGGAGGAGGGACATTTAAAGCAGGATTCACATGAGCATTTTCAGAAATTGCTTGTACATTTGTACCAGTTGTAGCCGACAAACGCATGCTCATTGAGCTTTGACTTGAGGCACATCAGCAAGGCGCTGTTGCATCGCTTACGTCTTGTCGTGATTCTGTGAATGGTATTTTGTGCGAGTTTGCATCGCACGCAGAATCGCAGGTCATGCCGCATTGCGCAGCACACTGCCAAATTGCTTCTGTGACTCCCACGTGAATGGGAATTCCAATAGGAATGTAATCCATTGCCAACAGGTGTATTCCCGAGCTGCGCATCATACTGCAAAATTGCTCCTGTGCATGCAAGTGGATTTCATTGCTCTTTTCAGTTTAGGAAATTCTCGATTATGATAATTCTGTGTGTGTGTGTGTGTGTGTGTGTGTGTGTGTGTGTGTGTGTGTGTGAGTGTGTGTGTACACCAGCCCTGAACATACATGTAGGTGACCCATTTGTGGTGTCTCATAGCCTACCTCACGACCTTATGCTTTCTTTCTGCATCACTTGTATCTTGCAGGTATATCATCCCGTGACGACCACATTGAAGTCTGAATTTGAAGTGTGAAGATGCTTCAGGAACCCCTTCATTTTTTCCATTGCTTTTATTGTGCTGCTACTGTGCATGTGATGGCAACGTATGCCGGTGACACGGTCAGATTTTGTCCATGCGTGTAACGTACACCTGCATGCTATCGTTGAAAAGGATCTGCCACTTACGATCTTCGGACGAGTATCAGGTCAGCTTGGTTTTGTGTGGGCTGTACCAGATGCTGTTCACTTCTCTATCTGTTGGATATGTGACTTTCTGCAAGTTTCTGGTGTATGGTGGCCACTTCTTTGCTTGTCTTTGTATGACATTACAATCATTCTGCACTCACTGCTTCCATGGTGTGGTCTGCAAACTGCAATCCTTACGCAAATATCATCACGGTTTGCAATGTTGTGCTTTGGCTGCCAGCTTACCTTTATTTTGTTTCACAACTGACTTCCTGAAGTATGGTGGCCACTGCTTTGCATGGCATTATACAATGTTCATCAAGAATTTTCCTGTTTGGGCCGTGTGTGCGTGTGTGTGTCACTGTGTGTGTATGTGTCACTGTGTGTGTATGTGTGTGTGTGCCATGTGCATGTGCTTGTTTGTCACAATGTGTCTGTGTGCGGGGTAGCGAGGTGGGAAGGGCTGGAATGTATCCGTGTGCTACTGCAATCGCATGGCTACATACAGTGCATCGCGCGCATGCTCACCATGTTTATCTTCGGAGCTGGGCCGGGGTGGGGGAGGGAACAGAAAAAGAACTGAAATTACCCATATAAAAACCGCTCTGTGAGCGGTTCTGAAAAACCTCTACTGGTGCAGCCCCGTCGTAAAAGTAAGAAATTAGGACTGGTGCATTGTCCTCCCAAATGTGAACTGATCCACCTAAATCGCGATTGACGGGACCCGAACGCACCAGTAGCACGAGGTCGGGACTCGGGAGGGCACAGGATTACAGGAATGGACCGGCGCCGATCAAGTTACCATACAACACTTACAGTACCCCGAAGCCCACCTTTGGCTTTGGCTATGGACCAGCGTCCCCAGCTGCATCCACAGGTAGGAACCTCGTGCTACTGGTGCGTTCGGGTCCCGTCAATCGCGATTTAGGTGGATCAGTTCACATTTGGGAGGACAATGCACCAGTCCTAATTTCTTACTTTTACGACGGGGCTGCACCAGTAGAGGTTTTTCAGAACCGCTCACAGAGCGGTTTTTATATGGGTAATACATAATATACCTCGTTAGCTTGCCACCGGCTGCACCCGGGCCTAATTGCATTTGCAGTGCTGTTCAAACTTGGCGCGAAATACGCACAGAAGTACGTTTGTACGATTTTCTTGACCCATGGCCCATGGGAGGGTTGAAATCAACCCGGGGCGAAATTTCAACCCGGGTCAAGCTCAATGCGTCATGTAAAAGGGACAAGATTATTTATTTTTGAGGATTTTCTTTCATAAAAAAATTACCGTCACAGGCCAGGCTTCTCTTTGTAGGGGTGCGTTTGGTTGGTACGATCTAGAACAGGATCGAACAGCTGGTGCACATGGAGCAGCCTCATGCCAACCAAACGGTACTCCAGAAACCGAGCACATTTTTGTGGAAAAATGTGCCAAACTTGGTGCATTCTTCAAAATGTGTATGGGTCACCATGGTCACTTTGTACGGTACGACGAATCCAACCCAAAAGCGTATGCACGTGATCATCTGGGACCAAAATCGATGTTCCCGCAAGGTTTCACTGTGAAAAGTGAAACTGCTCGGTCTGCTCCGGCCTCGAGGTTGGAGCAAGCAGAACATGTTCTGGCCGACCCAGAACAGGTGCAGTCCCAACCAAACGCGCTGTTCTGGTGAATCCTGTTCTAGTTCGTACCAACCAAACGCGCCCTAAGGCTGCATTCGATTGTAGAAACTGGATCCCGATCCCCGCCGACCAGATCACTTCGATCTGACGGTACGGATACAATCGAATGTGCACAACCGATAATCCGTTTCAAGGCCTTGGCAACCGCGTTGCTACAGCTCATCCCGTAGTATCTGTACGCGTTGTGGTAAACTCTTGACCCAGTGTACGCATATTGCGAGTTTTGAGTAGATACGAGTCGTACTATCGAAATGAATCCGTCGAATCCGTCGAATCCGTCTCTGGGAGGTGGGTTGACTGGATCCGAATCCGTGCTCTCGGGATCCGGATTCGTACAATCGAACATGCACAAATTTGGCGAATCCGGGTCCGGGGCTGATGGATTCGTACAATCGAACATGCCCTTAGTGTCCGCCTCCCAGCGGTCCGGGCAAGCGACCGCAACTCAGTGGGACACTTCGCCGTGGCCTTTGTACTGGAATCTGTGGGAGAGCCTTGCCTGGGGCTACACACCTGGTATGGGTACCGGCAAGAGTACATAACCCCCCAGAGTGTGCAACGCCGATCCAGCTCTAGAGCTCTGTGTAGGGTCTTGGTCGAGCGGAATCGGATCTTCTGATGTCATGCGTACACTTCACACCAGCGCAAGGCCGGTCTCGAGGCAGGGCACCATTGTTTTTGATCCAAGAGTACCCGCGACTCCCCGGGTTCCCCTCAGATGTGTACGGTATTATGACGCAAAGATCCGATTCCGCTCGACCAAGACCCTATGCAGAGCTGGATCAGACGTTGCACACTCTGGGGGGTTGTGTACTCTTGGTACCGGGTACGGGTACGGACAAATCCCTGGTGTTGCTCCTTTTTTTGTTCCTTTCCTTTTTACTTGTTTTTGCTGAGAAAGAAACGTTGCTGGATGGAAAGCTTTCTGTTCCCGCCAGCGCCTTTGCTCTAGTAAAACATTGCATAAGGTGAAGGGAAGCTGGGTTTCTTGCCATTTCCAACTTCCTGACTCTGAAAATGTAGCTTGAACTAAGAGCTCCCTGTATTTTAGTTTTTCGATGTGCCAGACCTATTGTTACGAGCTTCAGAGATGAGGAGCAAGGGAGGCGTTGGATTAATGCCAAAAATGGTGTTCAGGGCCCGGACGACGCCAGCGGTTTTCACTTGTCAAGAGGACAGCCAAGCTGGAGCAGGAAGATGATAGATTTATTACTGTGACTTTGAGCATTTATAGCAGAGTGGATGGCTTGCCAAAGTCTCAGTACCTCATGGTTACTAGTATCTGACAAATGCCTCGTATTGCTAGTCTGCATTAGAGCATAGCAGAATTGATCATTTCACAAGTAGAGTGAAGACTTGATGTCCTACGATTATACTCGGATCATGTTGCTACTTCACGGGAATATTCGTCCTGCAACTGTACGCTCTCCCAGAATTGCATGCAGAAGTCACGTGCCTGTCCCAGTGTGCAAGGGGCAACGCGTTTGCATTGCTTACGGATTCAAGCGAATGGAGTGCAGACCAGATGAGAAGACATAATTCGGCTATTCAAATAGCTTGGGCTGCTATTAATTGGCTAGACCCCTGGAAACATGGGCAAGAATCTAAACCAGTCCACGGAAACAATATCACGCCACACAGCAAGCTAAATGGCAAACCAATCAAGTTCTTTGGTGATGAAGCCGTTCAACAACATTGTCCGGTTGCATGCCTAGTGTCGCTCAAACAAGACCAATGGATGTCATTAGGACCTAAAAGATACGCTGTCGATCAACCACAACTCCACTACCACTGAGGAGAGTTATCTATACAGATCCAATTAGATATTGAAGTACATGTATATGAGTCAACGTTGCTGGTAGCCTCTCCTAATGACTGCGTACTTGGCATAATGTTATATACTGCACTCTAGAGCTACTTACCTTTTCCGACATTTAACTCAGCCAGTGACCACTCGCCCGCAGAATGAGCCAATTGACACAGAAGCTAAGTACCATGTGCATCCGTCGCAAGAGAAACACGCAAGTCTGCAAGTGAAGTGGATGTACACCCACTGATTTTCTCTTAAGCCGATATCAGACATGACCTGAGTGAAACGTATGAAGACTTGCACCGCATTTCTGCACAATTACATATAATTATTGCGAGGCCTTGTGAAATGATTCTCAATGCACACCTGGTCTACGCCACACGGAATACATCGGATTATAATGGCCAAGACAGCTGCCTATGTCTCTCTCTCTCTCTCCCTGTCTCTCTGTCTTTCTCTCTCTGTCTCTCTCTCTGGTTCTCTGTCGCTCTCTCTGTCTCTCTCTCGCTCTCTACCTGTCTCTCTGTCTCTCTCTCGCCCTCTCTGTCTTTCTCTCGCTCTCTCTGTGTCTCTCTCTGTGTCTGTCTCTCTCTCTCTCTCTCTATCTCTTTCTCTCTCTCTTTCCCTCTGTCTCTCTCTCTCTCTGTCTCTCTCTCTCCTCCCCCCTCTCTCTCTATCTGTCTTCATATATATATATATATATATATATATATATATATCTATCTACTTATACCCAATCTGCGGACAGAACTGTTTCGTCCTTTGTGGACTCATCAGCGCAGCACAGAGAAAATGAGGCCGAACCTGATTGCAATGAAAAATATATTTTCCAAAGCCAGATTTAAGCCAGGGCCGTACTTTGCCAAAGATATCTCTCCATCTATCTCCATCTTTGTATCTCTCTCTTTATCTCTCGCTTTATCTTCTTGAGGACACACTGGGTACAGACCGTCTGACGTGTCCGATGGTTTCGCAATTCTCCACCTATCAACTCCCTTCTGTGTGTGTGTGTGTGTGCGCGTGCACGTGCATGGGTGCAGGGTATATGCGCACATATCTCTCTCTCTCTCTCTCTCTCTCTCTCTCTCTCTCTCTCTCCCCCTCTCTCTCTCTCTCTCTCTCTCTCTCTCTCTCTCTCTCTCTCTCTCTCTCTCTTCCTGTCAGTACCTGGTTTGTGAATCGGCTTTTTGAATCGTATTTGTTTTCGGCTCACTGCTTTATGAGTTCACCTCAGTATACGTTTTTCTGCTGCTACCTACTTATATTATAGTAGTTGCCTGATGATCGTGTGATACGTGAAACTCAAGAGTTGTGATACAGCTTCCAATCTCTCTTATGTTCTTCAGTATTAGAAAAAAACAACGATCGAAATCTCTCGTGTCTGTGTGTCTCTACATGTTTCTATGTCTGTCTGTCTGTCTCTCTCTATTCTATCAATCTCTCTCTCTCTCTCTCTCTCTCTCTCTCTCTCTCCGTATATCTGCCGGCCTGTCTATTTCTCGTCTGTCTGTCTCTCTCTATTCTATCAATCTCTCTCTCTCTCTCTCCGTATATATATGTCGGTCTGTCTATTTCCCGTCTGTCTATTTCTCGTCTGTCTGCTTCCTTCTGCCAGTCTTTGTGAGTCTGCCTGTCTGTGTGCCTTTCGTCTGTCTATCTCTCGTCTGTCAATATCTCGGCTGTCTGTCTTTCTCCTTCTGCCTGTTTTTGTCAGTCTGCCTGTCTGTGTGCCTAGATGTTTCTCGCTCTGTGTGTCTAAGTGTTTCTCTGAGTCTTCGTCTTAGCAGTTCTGTC